AAGTTGGTTGGCTATGGCTGACGGGTGTAGGTGATGGTGGAGGAAGAAGGTGCAAGGTGGTTGGCTATGGTGGATGGGTGTAGGAGATGGTGGAGGAAGAAGGTGGAAGAAGGTGGAAGAAGGTTGGCTTGGGTGGATGGGTGTAGGAGATCGTGGAGGAAGAAGGTGCAAGGTGGTCGGCTATGGTGGATGGGTGTAGGAGATGGTGGAGGAAGGAGGTGCAAGGTGGTCGGCTATGGTGGATGGGTGTGGGTAATGGTGGGGGAAGAAGGTGCAAGGTGGTTGGCTATGGTGGATGGGTGTAGGTGATGGTGGAGGAAGAAGGTGGGAGGTGTTTTGGGTTGTCCTTTGGACATCCGGGCAAGGTGGATGGCTATGGTGGACGGGGAGAGGGAGATGGTGAAGAACGTGGTGGAGGAAGAAGGTGCAAGGTGACCGGTTATGGTGGATTGGTGTAGGAGAAGGTGGAGGATGAAGGTGCAAGGAGGTTGGCTATGGTGGAGGAAGAAGGTGCAAGGTGATCTTGGCTATGGTGGATGGGTGTAGGAGATGGTGGAGGAAGAAGGTGCAAGGTGATCTTGGCCCCGTGCCGCCCCCTAACCCAAGTGTCCGGGTCCGTCGTCCGCCGTATTCCCTAGTCCCGGATGCAAAACACAATTCCACAGCACACAATCTACAGCTAACATGCAGAAAACAAAGATTTGCAGCAGACACAGTTGGCTGAAAAATTGCAGAATTTGCAGATTTGTCGGTTACAGTAACTTACCGTTTTGCTGTTTTTTTTTGCCGAGGGTGAAAAATCGGGATACACAGGTCTGCGTTTCCTGCCCCAAACGACCTCAGAATCCTCTGAAACTTGGTGGGCCCTCTCAATGTATCACACGGAAGGCATTTGCAAATTTTGGTTTCATTCTGACGCCGTTTGGGTCAAGTTGTCTGTTTCGGGGGTCGTCCGGTCTCAGGGTGAACAGTTTGTGGAAGTCCATTTTCTGATTTTTTCAGAAAACGGACTACGATGGCCTGCTGGGTCTTCAGGCCGTCTGTTTATGCCTAGGATATGAGGTCTGAGATTTCTCAGCCCTCATACCTGTGGTTTGACAGCGTTGCCGCAGTCGTGCCCTCGGGCCGCCTCGGCCCGCTTGCCGTCTTCGGATGGACTCGCGCCGGTGAGTGGTTAACCATCTTTGCTTGCCTTAACGGCAGTCCAGTGGCCAGACTCCTGCAGCTAACACGGTCCTACAGCAGTTCATCAACAGAATTAACAGCAGGAGTTGCATTCCCTGAGAAAAACAGCACTCTACCCATTTCCAATTACCGCGTTCTAATAGCACACGGGGGGGCGAAATCATGCGGTATTCCGTCTAGAGCACAAGGGGAAAAATAGCGATTTACTTGGGAGTGGAAAAATGGAAAATGCAAATACTCTATACCACATGAACATGATATTACACCAAGATTGAAGTAGCGAATTACTCCCAAGTGAAGAGTCAAATGAAACATGGAGAGAAAGAGAGAAAACAACACATCTGAGCTCACACACACAAGGGGAAAAGCAGCGATTTACATAGGAGTGGAAAAATGGACAATGCAAGCACTCTACACTAAAAAAACACTAGATTACACCAAGATTGAAGTAGCGAATTACTCCCAAGTGAAGAATCAAGTGAAACATGGAGAGAAAGTGAAAAATCAACACATTTGAGCTCATACACACAAGGGGAAAAACAACGATTTATATAGGAGTGGAAAAATGGACAATGCAAACACTCTACTCTACAAAAACACTAGATTACACCAAGATTGAAGTAGCGAATTACTCCCAAGTGAAGAATCAAGTGAAACATGGAAATAAAGTGAGAAAACAACATATTTGAGTTCACACAGACAAAGGGAAAAATAGTGATTTACATAGGAGTGGAAAAATGGACAATGCAAGCACTCTACACTAGAAGAGCACTAGATTACACCAAGATTGAAATAGCGAATTACTCCCAAGTGAAGAATCAAGTGAAACATGGAGAGAAAGTGAGAAAACAACACATTTGAGATCACACACACAAGGGGAAAAAAAGCGATTTACATAGGAGTGGAAAAATGGACAGTGCAAGCACTCTACACTACAAAAACACTAGGTTACACCAAGATTGAAGTAGCGAATTACCCCCAAGTGAAGAATCAAGTGAAATATGGAGAGAAAGAGAGAAAACAACACATTTAAGCTCACATACACAAGGGGAAAAGTAGCAATTTACATAGGAGTGAAAAGATGGACAATGCAAGCACTCTACACTACAAAAACACTAGATTATACTAAGATTGAAGTAGCAAATTACTCCCAAGTGAAAAATCAAGTGAAACATGGAGAGAAAGTGAGAAAACAACACATTTGAGTTCACACACACAAGGGGAAAAATAGTGATTTACATAGGAGTGAAAAAATGGACAATGGAGAGCCTATTAGTAGCCAAAGAGTCCCCTACTAGCTATCCTAATCCTTGGAAGACATCCATGAAGGATGAGGAGAAAGAAAGAAGGAGGGAGGAAGAAGAAGAAGAAAAAGAAGAAGAAGAAGAAGAAGAATAAGGTGAGAGGAAAGAGAATGAGAAGGAGAGGAAGAAGATGAAGTAGAAGAAGAAGAAGAAGAAGAAGAAGAAGAAGAAGAAGATGAAGAAGAAGAACATGAAAAAGAGGAAGAGGAAGGAGAAGAAGAGGAAGAGGAAGAGGAAGAAGAAAAATTTATCTACTCACCTCTCCTTGATCTTGAGGCTGATATCTCAACTCTTGATGAAGCTCCTCCCCACTTGGCTATGACTTCCTTCCCCTCCAAGCCCTTCTCCTTCCTCTCTCTCCTCCTCCCAAGTTGCTACAAGCTCCTATCACTATGGTTATGGAGTCCTCCCCTCTAGGAGGGCTAACGAGACTCCTCTTAGCCTTGTCTTCTTCCTCACTAGTCTGGGAGCTATGGCGGATCACCTTCCCCACTGCCACTAGCCTGTAGGCTCCCACTCACTAGCTCATAGTCTCTCCTACACTCCCAAACTGGCAGGGTTTCCCCTCACTTCACTCCAAGTAGAGCTCTCATGGGCTCATTTGGGCAGCATGAACACTCCTCATGCAAATGTGAATGTGGCGGACTGAATCCTCAGCTTATGTAGGCTGGGAACAGCAGTCTGGCCAGCTCATGGGCCTCTCCATGTGCCCCATAGTGAACCGAGGTACCCCCATGACCAATTTTCACCACTAGGCCTCTCTGGGGGCACCTGGGCTTCTTTTTGGCCAGGTTCATGCAGTCCGAGTAGTTGGTATCAACTCGGTCTGCCCCTTTGGCCTTTTTCCAGCCTCTTACCTCTTGAAAAATGCCGCCCTCTTGAGTCCAAGGTCCAAGAGGTAGCCCATTTGAGAGAAAAAGACCTAGTGGACCTTTTTCTCAATTTTTTCAAGTTTCGGCCTCCCTTGGGTAGGCCGGAGCATTTTTTCATGAGGCGGCACATTTTCAGCCTTGGATCAGGCTGAAATTTAAGGCCCCCACTATTCCGAGCTACCCTATGGTGGTCCTTGCTTCAAATTTGAGCCTATAAGTTCAATTTTTTATTTTTTTGTGCATCTGGCTCTCTTTTCGGGCCAAATGCACAGTTCCGTCTTTTTCCCTCTTCTGTTTCATTCCATTTTGGGTTGCCACCTCATTCCGGAGCTATCCGTTTTGATCTGGGCCACAAAAAAACGGCTATCTTCTCTCCACCATGAGATCTAATCTCAGAGCCATGACCCAAAAGGAAACCGACCTTTTTCTTTTTGCATTTTCTCTAATTTTTGCCCTTTTTAATTCAGATATTGTGAAGATATGGCTCCGCAATCCAGGATGCCCTCCTTGGATCTAGGAGGGGTGAGGTCATCATTGGGACCTTCCAGTCCCTACCGCAGCAGTCCCAATAGACCGACATATTTTCCTCCACCCATTTCTTCCGTTCTGTCTTATTCTCCCGCCATTTTCTCTTCTTTTTCTTTTCTTTTTCTTTTCTTTTTGCTGTGACAAGTGTCAAACAGCTATGCACTCTCTTTCTAGGCCTTGGAACCTCATTCATGGCCAGGTTCATGGCCGGCTGTTGGCTGTTACATCCCGGACTTCAAAGATGGCCCTCCTATGCTCCTAGGGGGTTCCATTTTGTCGCCGTTTCTCCAATTTTGAGCCCCCTGTGCTCTGATTTTCCATGGGCAGCCTATTTTTCATGTTGGAGCTCTTGGAGCTCTATTTTCTCATGCCTAGCTAGTCCGAAATACCTCGGACTGCTAGGCAGCCCTCTCAACCTCCATTTTTCTTTTCTTTTTACCTCTACGCCTCACGTTTGAGCCCCACTAGTGCTTGCGCTAGCGGTGCTCATATTTTCCATCGTCAAGATCTCCGATCTTGACGGCGCCGTTGGCTTCGCACAACCACTCCCCACATTGGCTTATGGTTATTTCTTGGAACACCTCAAGTCCCCGCCGCTCTCCCGTACTAGTCCCATTTATTATTTTTTTTGCCCTGCCGGCGGTGCCGCCAACGCGCGTCCCATTTTACGACTTTTGTTATTTGGGTCCACCTGGTCCCCGGCGTCATCCCGGTTTGGGCCCAATTTTTATTTGGGACTTCTCATGTCCTCGGCAGTCCCATTTCACTGTTCCCACGTGCCTTAAGTATGCCGATTATTTTTCTGGTCGCGGGACCCCCGCCTTGCCGTCACCATTTGTCGTTGTACTCCCTTATGCCTACAGTGTCGTTTTCTAGCCTTTTGGGCGTGCCGCGACTCATTTTTCCTTGGCCTAGGCATCCCCATGCAGTCCGTTATTTCTCGGACTACAGCCACAACCAATTTTCTAGTCCCACAGCCCCACACCATGCCTTATGCCAAAAGGAAATGAAGCGTTAATTTTCCAAGGGCACCCGGGCTCAATTTTGGTTCCCGGAGCGCTTAAAACTTGTGTTTGCCCCTCCCCATGTTGTCCATTACAACTCGGACTGCAGTAGGGGCTATTTTCTTTATCTTAATGCCCCACAACTAGCCCCAAGTTGAAAGAAAGAGAAACGGCCAACCTCCAAATGCATCCGGTCTCCATTTTGGCTCCCGGTGCACCTAAAACATGTATTTGGCCTCTCCCATGTAATCCATTATTTTTCGGTTGCAAGGGGCCTTGATTTTCTTTGATTTTCTCTGCATAAATCAAAGAAAATCAAAGTCCTTTGTAACCGCCATATGCCAGAATGAATCTGGTCCCAAATGCCCTCCCTAGGTGACCGTTTTTGGCCGTTAGTGCCCTTTTGAC